TCTTTTAACAATAATTTTAGATTTTCTATAAAATGATATTCCAGGGCCCAACAGGTTATATAGCATAAATATGTGAAGTACACCTGCAGTATGGAAACAGTACAACAAAATGGCCGTTTTACACTTTTTTCTAGTAAATTCCTCTCTATATATTCTATTCTCTATGACTATATATGAATGCATCGAAAAAAATCTATGATTTTATGTTGTGAATTCTGAATGATTTCTTTGGAATTAAATTGATTTTTTTACGATCCGTGTCGAATATTGCAACTTTCTGAATTAGTATAGACGCTAGCGCTATGTTCTTCGGTATGAGTCGTTTTTTAAAATTTTCAACTCATAGACACAACAGATAGAAGTAAGATTGGTGGCAATCACCATCAAATATTTATCGACATCGCCTATTTCATTTTTCACGAACACTCCCTCTAATGTGGAAGACAGCATCGTTTTTAAAATGTTTAAAATTGTTAATTCACATTAAATTATCAGTTTCTAAGTTATAAACTTTACTTGTGGATGTCCAGGGTCCGTCAGTTTCCAATCTAAATAGATATTTTTGAAAAGTGAACTTGTGGATGTCCAGGGTTTGTCAGCTTATGAATGTCCAGGGTCCGTCATGCAACTTTTCTCCGTTTTTCCAATATATTTTGCATAGAATATTTCAGACAAAGATACACGACCTTGAAAACAATAAAACAAATATTTTACTATGTTAGGAGTCTAACCAACGCATTCATATATAGTTAATATTTCATAATATATTTTAATTGTTTTATATACAATGCAATTTTAACGACGATTGTTTGGCCGCCAGGTGTCTCTGCTCTCGATGGTTCTGTGGTTCCATGTGGAAGAGACACCTAGCGGACAAAAAATAATCATCGGTTTAAGTGCATTCTATATATATAAAAAAAAATATATTATGAAATATCAACTACAGGGTGTCCCACGAAACATGACAGTTGGTATAAATAGTTTAGAATGTCTTCTTCCATAATTTGATAAGTTTTTAATGCGAAAGACAATAATAAAAATATTATTTAGGAGTCATATTATCGTAAAATTAATTTCAAAGTAAACTATACTAGAGCAAAAGATTTTTTAAACGAAATAAACTGCAAACAGCCTTTAATATCTAATATAGTGTATGGAAGACGACATTCAAAACTATTTATAAAACTTGAAATCTTTAATTCAATTGAAACTTTTTTTTCGATTTACAAAAATTTGATATTTCATTTATGCCCTAACGTGGCTTGATTCTTAAAAAAATAGTTATATATGGAAGGATTAGACACTTGAAAAAAATAATATTGAAAGGACGAGGATTTCGAGGTGGCTCGGACGAGAAAATGAGGAGAATGTGGCTCACACTCACCTTTAAAAAAGAAAATCAGCGATTTTTTGTTTTATTATCAAATAGGAGAATATGCTTTGCGATACAAGTAATATTAAATAAGAGGAACACTTCTAAATAATATTTATATGTTTATTTTAGACAAATCTACCTTTGTACTTACATGCTATTTTTCAACATGGACAGTGATGGATACTACAATAATTCTAGTGTAAGTTCATTCATAGTTTTTAATACAATTTAGTTATACCGCGCCATTGCAGCTGTATTACTTTTTTCAATCTTCGGTTTTCACATTTAATACATTCAGAGGCGTACACAGGGGGGGGCTATGGGTAAATCGGTGTATTCCCCCCCAACACCGGGAAAATTCCTGAGTACGCCCTTGATTACATTCTGGCAAAAAAGTAGAAAAGTTATCTGATATATAATTTCATCCTATACTTTTTAAATAAAAGTATTTCAGTAGTGATTAAAAAATCTATTTCATCCTGAGATTCTGCACTAACCATGGGAATTCAACTCAGAATATATATATTCTGAGAAAATAATTCAAAGTGTACACAAGGGGATATGTACGACTGTGGTAAAAATTGCTTTCCAGAACTTAGAGTGAAATAAAGAAGGATTAATATATCGTAATACGAATCACTAAGAAGATCATTACGTCGCTTTGTTTCTCAATTGATGTTCAGGAAATGCCTGAGGTGCCTGATGTTGCTATTCTCTATTGTGGAGAACTTCCTCATCATAAGATGGGGATACGAGTAAGTATTTCAAGAAAAGAGATTTCGTCGACCCTTCTCACCTCATTTTTGTGAATCAAACTTTTTCTTCAAGATTCTTTTGATCTTATTAGTTTTTAGAACATTTTTCAAAGAAATTTTCTAATTCTGACACAGTCATTTTCTTTAAAATAAGAGCGAATGGAGGGGGTTAACAAATTATAGTTCTATTTATATGTATTAAGTTCACTACGGTAAATATTAAAAGAAATTGAGTCTTTGCCACAAACTCTGATTTTCCAATCCCTATATCTGTGCAACCCATTGTCGTAGAGCTTAAACATTTCAAACTATGAATACTGATAGATTACATATTATAAGTTTGAAATATCAAAGGTTGTAAAGAAATAGGAATTAGAAATTTGAGTTTGTGGCAAAGAATCAATTCCTTTTTTGTTAACACACTTTTTTAGTTGAACACTTACAAGAATTTTGACGAGGGTTCCACGGTTGGAAGAATTATGGGATACAATGATCTCAGTGACAGGTTTTTATTAAATGATAAAATATTTCCCTCAAAAAACCGTAGTTTTAGACCAATATTTACGATTTTGAACATTTTTGACAAAAGAATTTGATCGAATTGTGTAAACTGCCTTCGATCATTCGTGTAGCAACATTTTTCAAGTTTGAAAATTTGGAACTCCTGTGATGCAAAATATTTATGTTTTCTGAAAAAATAAACAATTTCTGAACAATCATATCATAAAGCTAAAACCTTGCCTCAAACCCTTCTCTGCTTACACAGTGGTAAGCGATTATTTCAATACAATGAAGACGACTTTTTTACTTAAGTTTTGATTGTTAACAAGCTTTTTTCACGAATTACAAGTTTACAAGTGATTAAAGAGAAGCTTTTTTCATTGACAGCTTCTCCTGACTTCTATGTTTATGTGTATCCATACTTTTTAACAGCTTAATATAAATCAAAATTTAAATCGAAAGTCGTCTTCATTGTATTGATATATTCGCCTACCACTGTAATATTTTATTAATACTGTCAGAACTCATGATTAATGTTTAAAATTCGGTGATGGTGATGAACAAAACCTCTGTAGAGTAAAAAAGTTAATGTTTTTGATGTGTAAAAAATAAAAGTTTAATTTTTCGAGATCTTCTTTGTTATTAAATTTCGATTGAGTGATGCCTAGAAAACTTAGAAAAGCTGTGATCTATAAATTGTTTTTACGACTGCTAGACTGATATAGTTCAGTATAATTGTTAGTTTATTATTTGTTTTCACTATATTCAAAAATGTTGCAATTACACATAAAATATGGTTTTGCATCATAATAAATCAGTTTTTATCGTTTACATGGAATAAGCTCTAAACCATCCACTGAGCTTTTGATGTGTATTTTAGTGATTTGCAGTACCAAGTTTGTAATGTGTGCAGTAGAGATGTCAACGTTTTGATTTTTCTAGATTTTAGCTTTCGGTACGATAGTGTTCATCAAAAGTATTAACGTTTGAAAAGTTACGTTGCACATTATGAAACTTTATGGCATAGAGTAACGTTACGTGATAAATTTTCTGCACTTGAATACCTTATACAACGTTAAGCTTTAGTAAATGTTATTGAAAAAACAGTAAACTCCGTTACGCTTTTGCATTTTCCGTATTAAAAAACTTTCCCAACGTTGCGTTAAAGCTTATGTAATAAAACCACAATTTTTTAACGTTCCACTTTCATGCAAGGTAAATATTTTCAGAGACCTTACGTTACACTTTCACTTGGTTTAAGATCTAAAAGATGACAAACGTTTTGCTTTTATAAAACGTCATTGGGGCATAGTTCTGAACGTTAAAATGCATTTCAGTGNCGCTTTTGAAATTAAAACTCAGCCCTCATAGTCTAACGTTTTATGAACAACATTTTCATCAGACATATATCTAACGTTAGACTAATCAATTTAGTATTCAGAGAAAAGTTATGAAAAGTTTTGATTTACAGAATTACATTTTTTTAAATGTTATACGTTACATTATTGAAATTTATACTCTGTAAAAAAAAACTTTCATTTCCTGATTATTAAAATAATAACCCATTTCTGCAACGTTGAATTTTTCATTATACTATAAGGGAAAACGTTTCAAAACGTTTTCATAAACAGTAATACATTTTTTCAGTTATACAACGTTACACTTTTTATAAGTTGAACTTTGAAATAGAAATCCTTTCGTTACGATATTCAATCAAATCAAAATTCATTTTTTAAACGTTAGACTTTCAAGCTTCCCTTGGAAACAAAACATTTCTTTACGTTATGGTCAAAAAAGTTGTAGATATTAGAAAAATAACGTTACATTTCCACAAAACGCTAACGTTGGGGGTATATTCCTCTAACGTTAACGTTTAACGTTAACGTTAGGTATGAGATCCTATAACGTTAACGTTAAACGTTCACGTTATATAGAATATATCCAAACGTTACACATTATTGTAACGTAACGTACGAAAACGTACATTTTACGTTACGTTACACTATCGTTGACATCTCTAGTGTGCAGTACTATGTTTATATTCTGCAGAAGTTATAATTTTATTACGTTACTTAATTTTACGAGTACTAAATACATAATGCTAAGTTCCGGCCCTCAACACTTAAGATTATTGGGACACTCTGTATATATTATACCTATATTTGTTGCATAATTATGTTTATTATTCTAGAAAAAGCAACAATGATCTGGATTTCTCCGAGTTCATGACCAAGGTTGGAAATCCGGATAAAGTTTGAAATCAAAGTGTTTCTCACAAAGTATGGAACTTCAGAGAGAACTGCACTGAATTCGTTCAGGGCAGTTTTCATGGCATGTTCGTTCCCCTCTATGTCAAATATAGGTTTTTAAAATAAATTGAATTGTACAAAAAATCTAACCTTTCAGTGTTCTCCCATCATCCCATGTACCTTGGGTAAACGGTTCATGAAGAGAACGAATTATTTGGTGTACAGCCTAACAAAATAATTTAGTATCTTTGTTTTGTCCCAGTTTTACCTTATTAAATAAAATAATCCAGTTTTCCCAGTTTTTGGAAAATTGCTCTTAAAAGCACCATTTATTGGTCGAAACTGAAAAAATAAAAATTGTGTCGCATTTTACAGGTCACTGGCAAATATAAAGTATTTTTCTAGATAGCTCGAAAAAGTGTCGAATATCATGTTCAATGATCATTGAAATATTATCTTAAGCTAAATGACCAAAAATCATGTTTTTTCTGTTTCGTTTACCATTTTTCAATAAAATTATACCAGCTAAACAACACTGCTAGAGTGCACTGCAGAATCCGTCTAAATGTTTTATTTCTTCAGTTAAGCCATAAAATGTTGTTTTTAAGAGCAATTTTGTATAATTCAATTTATCAAACCTACATTTGACTCAGAGTCCTTGAAACCTTGGAAACTTTTTTCTTTCGTTTATTCTTTTTTTCTGTTCATTCTCTTTCTCTCTGCATGATTCTAGAAAAATCCAAATTCAAATTTAAGATCTCTTATTAGATTTTGGTTGTCAGCAAACTTTCATTTTTAGTGGTTTCCTTTACATATAAACATTTGCACAGCTTATTAGTTTTGGGATATTCAGCTTAGATTGCAACAATAAGTTAGGATTTCGGAATATATTTCATCATTAATATTACTAGCTACCCAGGTTACTAAAAGTTACTTCCGCCGTTCACCCCCACTTGAACGATTTTACCGGGAAACTTAGCTAGTAAAGTCGACCTACTCACCTTAGAATCTCAAAACCAAGCTAAGAACATTCCCGTGGGTCTTCCAAGTTCTCCATTCAAAATTTGAGACAAAGATCGGTCCAGAGATTCCTGAGTTATAATCGGACAAACAAACAGACAGACAGACAGACAGACAGACAGAAAGACACAAGAACAGAAATTACAACTTTACGTATATATTTGAAAACATAAACAGCACCCAATCAGTGAACTTTAACCACTTTTCCTACATTTATTTTGCTACAGAGCAAACGCCAAGATTTTTATAAATGTCGTCTTAGTTTTGAGATAAATTAAATTGTTGATATTTATTAGGAAGAGCGGAAAGCAAGTGAGGTTAGGGAGAGAGAAAGGAAGAAGATGGAAGAAGCGAGAAAGGAAGAACAGGAAAGGCTCCAAGAAGAAGCTGATATGGAGAAATTAAAACTTCTTAGGGAAGAGGTGATTAATAAAAATGACACACATTTGTAGATTCAGAAATTCAAGAATTGCAACGCCTCATTCTTTAATTTCAGCGCATTCACACATTCTTTTTTGTGGAGCGCAAGGTACGTGGTGTGTACATTTTATAACTAAATACACCAATTCTTGACTTACGTTTTTTTAAAAGAAATTGGCAAAATTCTCATTTTTTTTGCGCGAAAGTTTGCAACCTTTGGATCAATATGAACATGTCAGGTTTAAAACCTTTCAATCCACAATTGATTCTCTCAAAGTCTTAATAACAGTGATAACCAGAAAACTCTGAAATAGAAGGACGACGTTTAGACTCAAGTTATGGCTTTGTATAGTCCAACAAGCATGGAACACAGCTATTGTGCAGTGTTATAAATAGATCAATTTCGCTTAATTAGTGATTAAATAAGTGTCTAGTAAAATTATTTGCTTTGTAACATCAAAAACACTTAAATATTGCTAAAAAGTCGTCTTTCTATTTGAGAGTTTTCTGGTTATCACTGCATTTTTTGATCATAATGAAATTAATATAACAGAAGTCACTACTACAGTTATACCAATTAATGACGGCTCTTTATCTCTTTGGGGTTGTAACTGATCAGCCTACATGCAGGATTTATCTTGGTTTGGTTGACAGAGGTTTTCTCATTTCTTACAAGTAACCTTCTTTCATGTTGCCTAAAGATTATTGACCGGCCATTGTAAAATTACATAAACATTGTCAGAGGCCGTTCCTTCCGTAAACTACATTGGTCGACAACTTGACGTCTTCTATATTGGTCGTCAAATGTACGGAGAAATATCTATCTATCAGATAAGAATTTAGCACCAGACATCTAGCGGCCAACATATCGTCCCCCAAAGTACGTGAACTACACGACCACTTTCTAAGGAGAGAACGGGCTCAGGTGTAAATCAAACTTTGATTGAATCTTCTGCCTGGAAATGGTGGGCTATCACATCATCCAGACAGAACAAACACTAGGCCGAGAGAATATCAGAAATATATGACGACGATATTTAAACATTGATTTTCTTTATTATTCCTGCGAGGTGGGGTAAGCATTACAATTAAACTATGCGAGGTGGGGAAACCATTTTTATTAAGAGCCACTTTATAGAAAATAAAAATAATTGATTCAGAGAACATAAATAAATAACAAATATTTTAAAACAAAATTTAGTTATAGTTTATAAATTATAACAATTTAAATGCCCTTAGATTTTTGAACTGAAGAGTTCCTATATTATATATATTAGATAATATGAAAACAAGAAAGGCCAAATATACACATTAAGTAGTTTTTGTTGTACTGAAGATTTTTAATATCACAATTTCCTTACCAATCATAATGAATGGAAACATTACATAAATTATAGATTTTATTGATTCTAATAAATAAAAAATAATAATTTTATCTTACTGTTTGTATCCAATAACTGTCAATACGGTTGAACCGATTGGACCCAACTTTTGTGTGGGACCTCACATGGCCCTAGGGAAGGTTTATGAATGAACAAAATAAAAAAATTTGCCTCCATCAAAATTCGATTTTCATTAAATTTTTTTAAATTTTGAAAATCCACGAAACTTTTTGTTTAAATCCGCGAACTTGCTTTGTTTTGTTTTACAAATTTACAATGTACACGAAGAGAACATGTTCACAATTAAAATAGAAGATGCCTATTATATATATTAGTCACAAAGAATAACATGAAACTAATTGCATGTTAAATGTACATATAGTACAACTATACTGATGGTAAAAGTAAACAAAACAAAATTTTGTAAACATTTACGTTATAAAATGACACAAATTTGTATTGCAAGGGGTACTAATGTATCTTAATTTACAAATATGTATCCTCTTGGCTTCACTGGACTTATAGAATGTCGTCTTCTAAATATATTCGAGCCTGGTGTTTGTCCAGTCTGGATTATCTACTGTGTCCTCCTAATAATAGGTGTTTGGCAAAGAGAATAGAAAATATATTAGAGGGGAATTTACCAGAAAAAAGTGTAAAACGGAACTTTTGTTGTACTGCTTCCATACTGCAGGTGTACTTCACATATTTATTCTATATAACCTTTTGGGCCCTGGAATATCATTTTATAGAAAATCTAAAATGAATGTTAAAAGAAAACCAAATTATGAAATAGGCAGCTTTCATAATTGACCAATGATCCTTTCACATAGACTCTATGCCTTTCGCCTTACAAACGATGATTTTGCGTTATAACTATAAATCAAATGATGTTTTTTATTCACCTAATTCATTATAAAGTATATTTAACAGCTTTAAAAATTCGAAATTGAAATGAATTACGCCCAGCGACAGTACACTGCAGTACAAAAGATGCGTACACTTCTGAAATAACTTTCCTTGCATTAAATCCTTGCCTTTAAAGGACTTTAAACGTAATCCCAAATGGCCAAAGAGAATAGAATATATATTAGAGTGGAATTTACTAGAAAAAAGTGTAAAACGGCCATTTTTTTGTACTGTTTCCATACTGCAGGTGTACTTCACATAACCACCTTTTGGGCCCTGAAATATCATTTTATAGAAAATCTAAAATTATTATCCAAAGATTCCAAATTATGAAATAGGCTGGTTTCATAATTGACCAATGATCATTTCACATAGACTTTATGCATTTCACTTTACAAACGATGATTTTCCGTTATAACTATAAATCAAATGATGTTTTTTATTCACCTAATTCATTATAAAGTATATTTAAAAGCTTTAAAAATTCGAAATTGAAATGAATAGTCTAGGGAACATACTGTATTAATGTACTCTACTGCATATAATTTGTGAACATTTACATGATTTGTACACTTTGAACTCCCTCTCAGGCTGAAAGGGACTGAAAAAATTCATACCGAGAGATTCTTTAGATTCTTCTCTAATATATATTCTATTCTCTATTGTGTTTGGTCATACAAGCTCCACTCTGCACTTGTGATCTGGTAACTAACAAAGCTTTTCAGAGTTTTAGAGTTGAATTGAATACAATTAAACAGATTATTGTAATTATTAAACCAGTTTTAGACATTCCTGAGCTTGGAAAATGTTTTTTTTTACACGTAGGTTGATCAGTTCGATCCCCAAGAGAAGATGAGCCGTCCTTCAGATCATGGGATTGACCAAATTCGACAATTTTGAACCATGTTAGATAGTTCTAACATTCGAGAGACATTGTGATAGTGATTTTATTACGTTCGGACAACAAGCAAGCATTTTAGAGGAAAAAGATGAGAGATCTAACTTATATGAATGTTGAATATTTATGAAAGTAAATTTTTTAATCTGCTTGACACACTAACCAGATGTCCCCGATTAAAAATAGATGTTTTAATCTGCTTGACCCAATACCCAGATGTAGCAAATCAAGGTA